CCAGTGACGTCACAAGGTCCTTAAACTCGGTTCCAGAGCCCAGACACAGTTTTGCTCCAAAAAGTCGATTTCAACGGCTAAAAAAAACACTTTCCGTTAGGATTTGACAGAAATAAAGTTCACCATTATTTTAAGCACGTTTGAAACTATAGATTGGGATAATAAAAGAGAGTACGAAAATTTCGTTTCAGTGGCACTTTAAAGGTAATTAGTGATTACGGTCGACATTACGGTAACAAATTCTCCTGGATTCTTTCTCTGGATTCAAATAGTAGATCGACTGTGAACAGTTTACTAAATGAAAATAACAAAGCTATTAGAATATTGATTTATACTCACTGGTCAGTCACTGGTCAGTTTTTTTGTCAGTCGACGAGAATGAAACCAGAATGAATACGTGTCAATAACAGGACCTTTTCCTCTGAAAAGTAGAAGAGAAAGAAAAGTTAAGCAAATTATCACTGCACAAACGATGCTTCCAAACAATTATTCGCGTGACTTAATTATTGGCGTGACTTACTAATAGCTCTTACATAAAAAAAAAGAAAATCAGTCAAGCGATCCGTGCAAACCTCTCCCACTGTAAATTTAAAGTCTTAAAAATCAGCTTACAGTTTATAAACTTACCGTACTCAGTTTCTCAGTCTTCTGATAAAAATGAAACCAAAAGTGATAGAACCAGAAACAGCACTGAGGGAGTTTCCCTGCAAGATAATAGGAAGTCCAAAAGGAAGTCAAAACAAATTAACATTGAAATAAGTTTCAAAAGTTGTGCAAAACAATCAAATAAATCAGTTCTTTGCTAAACACTGACAGTAAAGCCCAAGAGCTTTCAAAGCATATTTGGGTGACCATAGCTTATAATCAATAAAATGGTTATCAAGCTAGACAAAGTTCTCTGTCTGTTTTTCGTTTTTTGGCTCAACCATGCATAAAACACAATAGCTGTTAACGTATTGTGTTTGATGTTTCTCATAGATTAACGAACAGAAACGTTTTGGTTATGCAATTAACACACTGTGTATGATCGCAAAACGAAAGATTAATCACAGTCCTGGACCTTCCAACATAAATCTTGGCATCTTTGTTCGCTCTTCCGAGGTTTCTTGGGTTAATTAAAAGCCACACTAGTTTACTATTAAATTCTGTGTCGGCTGATTAATAGAATTTACATTCCGAGCCCTCCTGTTACAGACAGACTAAATTACTCTGTAGAGAAATAAGACAACTCCTGAAAGCTATTTTGCCATCGATCTGTTGTAAAATATGGAAGACCGTGAATTGACTTTTTGACAGTTTTTACTTTATAATGTACTTTGAACGATTTGATTGATTTCATACTCTCGTTTTTCGATGGCAACAGACATCAGAACTGACAGAGCCACAAACTTTGTTGTTTACTGGCAAACAATAGAGCGTGCAGTTGATCATCACTTTATGATTGTTTGAATTTCGTGGCTATCATAATTCAGCTGTATACTATTTTAGCTAGTTAAGAGAGAAATCAGACGATGCAAAGTTAGCAAGAGCTGTACTTACCTCGTCGGAACTTGCTTTGGAAAGTGAAACTACGAAAATCACTCGGGGGGTTCTAGAAATTTCGAGAAAACACTGATTATCATAATACGTCACGGATGGAAGATGTATTTCAAAGTTTCTGGAGTGTCAAAACGTAAGCTTGACAGGATGTGAGATAAGCTGAAAATCCGGTCGGGATCTGGAAAGCGGCATTCGGGATGAACATATCTTGGCCTGAGCAGCATGTGTTCAGTGCAAGCAGGAAATGCGGGATACATTTGAAATTGAGGGGCGGGATGGGTGATGAAAATCAGCAAATCACGGTTACAAAGTGACTGGAGAAATTAATTTACCTTTTGTGAGTTCTCGGAAACACTAATGAGTTAAAGAGAAAGAACTTGTTTTAATCAGCTTGCCAATCGTGTTTCGGTCACACCAACGTCGCTACTTATAACTGGTTTTGATTAGTCTTTAAACACATAACGTCAGAGTTAAAAGTAGTTAATGATTAGCGTCGACGTTGCGGTCACGAATTCTCTCAGGTTCTGACTTTGTGTTGAAAAATGAAATTGACTGTGAACAGTTACATCATTATTTCAGTCTGCTATGAATATGTTATAACTAAGCTAGAATTATTATTTATACTTACTAGCTATGGCGAGTCATCAGAGAGAGACCAATACCAATACGCGTCAATAACAGGACCTTTCCCCTGAAAAGTAAGCAAAAAGGGAAAGTTAAGCGAATTGTTCCTACACAAAACGATGATTCCAAACAATTATTTGCGTGACTTAACTGACTTTTCGCGTGACTCATTGTTGAAGCTTACAGCAGGAAGAAAATCAGTCACTGGATTCATAGTCTCTTCCAGTGCAAACTAGATCATGTTAAATGTAAATCCACACTATCAGTCACACACAGCTTATAAACAATTATTGGATGAGGTTTTTGTGATATCCAGAATAATCAAGGTCGAGGTAGGGGTTATCAGCCTCAGCCTTCGGCTTCGGCTGATAACCCATACAGACAGATAACCCATACCTAAGCCCAGAGTAGAGAACGCAACACCTTCCACAATAGACCATTTTTGCATGTTGCACATAAATTATGAACTTAGTGATCTACGCCTACTATAAATTATATTGTACTCACCAGTCTGTTTAGATCAACAGGATGAAGCCAAACTCAAACCGCGTCAACAGCAACTGTTTCAATAATAACATAAAAGAAGTTAAGCATATTATATATCGAAAAGCATTACTTCAAGCGTGCGTCCATCGCCGTGACTTTACTTTCTCGCGTGACTCATTGTTGGAGCCAGCAACCCAAATAAAATTTGTCACGCGATCCATGTAAATTTCTTGCAGTAGAAATTATTCATTAGTACTTGATATCGACTTTTCTGTCAGAGTTATAAACTCATGTTTTGAAGCACGATGTAAATTTATGGTGTTTAGTTATGCCATCTTGAGATCAAAGTGTAACCAACAGCCGGAAACTAAAAAAAACAAACAAACAAACAAAGAACAGTAAGGGAATTTCCCTGCAAGATAAGGCTAGACAGTGACAAATACAAAAAGATTTAGTCTCTGCAAAACAACTCGATAAAAGAGTTCTTCTAATGTTACCCAGCGAGCGTGTATTCGCGTGACGCATTGTTAGAGCTCGCAACCAAAATAACATTAGTCACGTGAGCTATGCAAATTTCCGGCAGTGCAAATTCTTTAAAATCGATTTTCATTTAGAGCTAAAGCTCTTACTTGAAAGCGAAATGTAGCTCAATATAGACTTATGGAGGTTAGTTTCTCCATCTTGCTATCAAAGTGAAACCAAAAGTGAGAAATTAAAATAACAGTAAGGAATTCCCCTGCAAGGTAAGGCCAATCGATGACAAATGCACTGAATAGTATTGTGCAAAACATTTTTCTAATGCGTGTATGTTTGTTACATCCTTTGCTATCTTCTTTTTTTGCTAAAGACTGACAAGATGCCGGTCCTATAGCTTGTAAAGTCATTTGTATTCTGTTGCTGACTTCTTGATTCGACTTTGAGCTTCCTGTCATAGCCGGAGACTGACGAGATTTAAACTGGCTTAAGGTACTTTGCGAAACGAAACGAAACGAAACGGTACTTTGCGAAATGGTACTTTGCGAAACGGTACTTTGCAAAATGGTACTTTGCGAAACGAAAATATTGTAAAAATATTGAATGGGGCAAATAAACATTGATTGCAAAAC